CCAGGAAACTCTCCAGGAAACAGTGCAACTCTCAGGAAACTCCTGCAACTCTCAAGGAAACTCTCCAAAAACATCCCTGCAACTCTCAAGGAAACTCTCCAAAAACATCCCTGCAACTCTCAAGGAAACTCTCCAAAAACATCCTTGCAACTCTCAAGGGAACTCTCCAAAACATCCTTGCAACTCTCAAGGAAACTCTCCAACAAACATCCATGCAACTCTCCAGGAAACTCTCCACAGACATCCCTGCAACTCTCAAGGAAAGTCTCCACAAACATCCTTGCAGCTCTCAAGGAAACTCTCAAGGAAGCCGTCATACCCATGCAGTTTGTTTTCGAATCTTCGGTCAAGATATGATATCACTCGGCTTTGCGTCAGAGAGACCTGTGGCCAATGTCAAAAGTGAACTCTCAAATCTCAAAACTTGCAACACGGCATGACAACAAGAGGCCCAATCCCTCAAGCCGAAACAAGCAGCTACCTATCCGATCGAGGCTTCAGCCCTCTCACCAATGCCAGCGGCACCATCGTTGAGCTCCTCAGGAACTGTCTCCGGAATCACGTCGTCGGCGGAATCCTTCGGCGCCGGCTTGGACTTCGACTTCGCCTTCTTCTGGTTCAGCGCGCGGGCAGCCTTGACCTTCGCCAAGACATCGTCCAATGCCTGCAGGGATGTCTCTCCCTCATGGATCAGCTTGCTGGTGGTCGCGACATACTCTTCCGTGTGCTGGATTGAGATCACTGCGCATTCAAGGCTCTGCAAGCCCGCTTGGGCGTTCGTCAGCGCATCCGTAATCTCCGCGCGATCGGGGATCGGCAGGAGCTGCCGGAGCTTCTGGCCTGCAGCCATCGCCTTCGACATCTGCCTCACCAGGCTTGCGCCTTCCTTCTCGATCTTTTTAAAAGCAGCGGTCCAGCTCACGTCAACTTGATCCGAAGAGCTTCCAACGCCGGACCTCTCGGTCACCGTGATCGCATCTGTGCGCTCGGTGGCCAGCTCCTACAAAAAAACACTTGCAAGCAGCGTCCAAAACTCTTCAAATCTATGAAGCCTCCTCTCCAACAAGAACAGCTCACAAAACTCTCAAACCTTCAAAAGCTCTCTCCCACACAAAAACATTCATCAAAGCTCTGCCTCAAAAGAAAACTCTCAACAGTCCTCACGCCCGCGAACGTACTTGTACTGCTTTATCCCACGACGGGCCCATTCCGAGTTCTCCTGGTCGCGCTCTTCCAGCGTCTTCCACCAACTCTTTCTCCTCCGGCTTCTCCAAGCTCAGGCTCTGCTCGTTGGCGATCTGCTTCTTAGTCAGCCACTCCTTGGTGCTCAGGTCAGTTTCCTTTTCGGAGACAACGCTCTGCTCTGTGACTTCTCCACTCCACCGAAGCTTTGGATCCTTCAGGAACTTCGCCAAGCACTCCCTCTTCTCGTCCGGGTTGGCGCTCTTCCAGTGGCTGTCCAGCTTTGCGACATCCGCGTCGCCCTGGCTTTTCCTGTACTGGATAGCTGCTCGATTTTTTTTCAGCACCGCAGCGTCCATGGCCTGCTCGTTGCGCGCCCTGCGCTTAGAGAGCGGCGCATGCATCTTCTCCTCCCTCGGGCTCGCCTCCTGCGGCGCTTGGGCTCGGCTCCGTCGCGGGCGGCTCAAGGTCAAGTGCAGCAGCTTTCTTCTCCTCCAAGTCTTCGCCGGCCTTCCTCAAGGGCGAAGCAACGCTCTTGGCGGCCGACTTCTTCTTGGCCTTGGGTTTCGGCTGCGACTTCACCTTGGGAGAAGGAGAAGGCTTATTCGACTTTCTTGGCATCGCAAGGCGGCGGGCTATCCGGTGCGTCGTGCAAGGCCAAGTGCTAAGCGCAGGCTCTTGAGACACGCAGTAAGGAATCCATATGACACGCAAAGGCTTCTATTAAGACGAACCATGATGCATTGCTCCAAGCTCTCAAAACGATTCTTTTCAACTTGTTTCATGCGCCCCAGATACAGCTTCCACGAATTGAACGACAAAGCAGTGCCCTGAGCACTTCACTGCAGAAAGTGTTTATAGAACACAGTCTGGAAAAGCAAGAAATTTCATTCTCCAACAAAAATCCACGGGTCTTCCAACAGCTTGCTGTACATCCCGGCCGTCCACGGCATTTGCCACATCCACCCGCGTAGCGGGCTTGCAGTTCCCGGGGCAGAGCATTTCTCCTGCAGCGCTTGAGCTGCTTTGCTTTCGCTTTGGCTTTGGCCTTGGGAGCATTCTTTGCTTTCGGGGTAGGCTGTGCTTTCGGGGCAGGCTGTGCCTTTGCCTTCGCCTTGGGCGTTGGCGCGGCAGAGGACTTTTCTTCCTTCAGCGCGGCAGCTGCTGCCAGGATTGGGTTAGCGTTGGGCGTCTCATTGCGGCTCGAGCTGCTGGCCTCCCGATTGAAGGGCAGAAGCTTCTCATCAGTGCTCTGGGTAGTTTTCGGGGATGTGGAAGATGCCGAGATAGGGTCCTCCTCCTCGCGCGAGCTTGTCAGGCTTAGCATGGACGCCGCTGCTCGTAGTTTCTTTGGTTATAGCGATCCATGATCGCTGGCAGCGATCTCAGCTTGTTGTACCGGATCTCCAAAGGCTGCGGTCGTAGGTGCGCAACCAAAGCATGCAAGAGATCCTCGTTCGACGTCTTCTGCTCCGCTTTGATCTTGGTGACGGCGATCTCCTTCTTAGTGTTCCTGCGCACGAACAAAAAATCGGCAAATGCATCTTGTGTAAAACCAAATCACAACCCGAAGCATTCGAGAGCTGTCCTCATGGGAACGCTCGCAGCAAACGAAGAAATCTGCACGTAGCTCCACAGTCGGTCATGTTCCAAGACACGAGAAGAGCTTCCGGCCCTGTCCAAAAGAGCAGGGTCAAGGCGGGCAGGATCAGAGGGCAACAGGGCTGGAAACTTTGAGTTATCACTGGACGTCTCCGAGTACTTTGCCGTGCACACGCTGCGCAGGATCTCCTTGTGCGTCAAGAACGCGTCAAATTTTTCCTGGACACTCATGAGGAGAGGCTCCTTCTTGGAAGCTAGGAGGCAAACGGCAGTGAAGGATCTGCTGGTTGGCTCACTGGGCGAGCACAAGCCAAGACGTGCCAAGCAGGCTGCAAGCTGGAGCGCCTTCTCCGAGCCACTGACTTCCTTTTTTCCAAGCGTGGACCATAAGTCGGCCGGGATGTACGTGGGGAAGTGCACGTAGTCCTGCAAGACGCGCCGCTTATGCAAGCTGACGCCACGCTTGCCGTGCACTGCTCCAGCAATGAGAGCGTCTCTGTCTCTGAGAACACGGCTGTCGCTTTCAAAGCCTTCATCAGCTCTGTGGCATCTTTCAAAGACAAATTTGAAGCCTTCACTGCGTAGGACAGGCGCTGAAACTGCTGCATCCTGGCCTTTGTGAAATCTTCTGGCCCTAGCGCCTGCTGCGCTTGCAGCAAGTACTCGGCAGTTTCTGCCCACAGCTCGCGGAGGCACGACATGCTGGCAGTGGCCTTTCTTCCTGGGCTTGCTCGGCTACCACAACATGAACCGCATGCACATTGCTAAGACTCTCAGCTCTCAAAACCATGAGGGTTCTCAAACCCTGAAAACTCTCATAAACTCTCAAGTCTTTCAATGTTCTCTCAGAACTCTCAAAACTTTTCAACTCTCAAGACATTCCAGGTTCTGACAAACTCTCAAACCTTGAAAACTCTCAGAACCCGAACCCCCTCAGAACTCTCAAAGCTCTTAAACTCTCAAGACCATGAAAACTCTCACATGAACTCTCACCCCTCAGAATTCTTAAGCTCTCAATGCGTTCAAGGTTCTTATCCTGCCCTCAAACCCTGAAAACTCTCGTAAGCTCTCACGACGTTCCAGGTTATTATCAAACTCTCAAACCCTGAAAACTCTCATAAACTCTCAAGCCTCCAAACCACTATTAAACTCTCAAGACGTTCCAGGTTCTCATGCATCAACTCTTAAACCATGAAAACTCTCATGAGCTCTCAAACCCTCAAAACTCTCCAAGCAAAACCCGCGTGATGAGACAAAGGATCCTTTCATTTGAGCCGCTTTTTTGCACTCTCGCCAAACAACGACGTAAGCCCGCTATAGCACCATGATGGCTCAAACTCTCAACAATTCGCTCACAAAATCACAGCCGAGGCCAACGCTGGCTGCGCCTACTTTGCACAAAACTCTCATCAGGCTGCTACGAAAACATTGCGACATGCAAAGCACAGTATACGTGGCGATCAACGAAAACCGACCTGAAAAAAACACGAAAAAGTTACAACAAGTTAGCAAAACTTATCAAGAGTTACACACACACTTAACTTGACTTAAAAATCCACTATCTAGACTTAAATCTAGATGCGAAAACTTAATAAAAACTTACCATAACTTAAAAAAAATAGCAAGTTCAATAAACGATTATATGTCCCCGCAAGTGTTGGAAATGACTATGCCCGAGTTGACCTAGTTGCCGAGCACTTGCCGAGCGCTTACCGCCCAGTTGCCGCCCACTTGCTAACTGCTATAACTTGTCGGCAATCGCCGCGGCTGGTCTTAGCAGTGTATGTCGCCTTTCTGGCCAACATCCAGCGGCAACAGTTCCAGCTGAACAGCTTCAACCGGTTTCCGGACACGCTGCTGGACCTTCTGGGAGTCCCACGCTCCACCATGCCTCTTGCTTCTCTCTGGTCCCACTGGCAACCAGATCGGCCCCTGGTCCTCGACTGTGCTGCAACAGATTTTGACTACCCCGGACAGGCGTCTGTTCACGATCTCCGCCGGGGCTGGGTCAGGCAAGAGCTACCTCGTTGGTGCCTTCCTGCGCATGTGGCTAGACGCTACAGGCCACACCTCCGACCCGTCAGTTGCAGTTGTGACGACGGGGAGGGCAGCTTGCCGGAAAAACCTGATTCTCAACCTCGGGGTGTTCGTGCCGAAAGACCAGTGCTTCATCTTGGAAAGTGGCATGGACTTTGACAATGAGGCAGCGCTCGGGGATGCATTCTGGCATGCTGGAGGCGCTGGAAAAGGCCAGAGAGGGTCACAAGAAGCTTCTCTCCGACCTTGACCGTGTCGTGGACATGGGCCTGACTTTGGGGGAGCGCATGGTGGCCCTGTCGCTGCGGTCGTCTATGCTATGGGAGCAGATGCTGTGGACCCGGGAAGCGGTCATCAGCAGGTACCTGCGGCGTGTCCGCGTGGTGATCATGACCTCTGACAAGCTGCGGAAGATGCTGGGCAACCGGGGTCCCAGTTTCTACGGCAAGCCCAAGGTCGTGTGCGTGGACGAGTACGAGAACCTGCTGAACTTCCTGGCGCTCGTGGGCCACTTTCCAATGTGCATTGCCGTCGGTGATCCGTGTCAGCAGCTGAAGATCGCAGCGGGCACCCTGGAAACCCGCTTGCCAGATGGCTCCGCCAACCCTGCACATATGGTGGGACTGTGCGACCCGCCTGTGCTGGAGTGGCTTCATAGTCGGTCTGTGGTGACAAGGCTGACTACCACCTTCCGTCTCGGGCCAGTGCCGGCTCTTTGCGGAGTAGTGGGCACAACCAGACTGGCGTTGTGCTCATTGAGTATGTTGGCTCTTGGATGGAGCTCGACCTGCATGGCTTTCTGAAATCGACCATCTATGAGTGGGCCTTGTTCACGGCGATCTTGCTGCACTGTCTGCGCAGAAGCGCCACAGATCATGTCGCGGTGGTGCGCTACTACGCGTCGGTGCTTCTAGCGCTGGACTGGCACTTGCACCAGATGGTTCGCCACTTGGGCCCCGCAGTGAAGCACGACCTCAGCCGCATTCACCTGCTGTCACCCGAGAGCGCTGTGGGATTTACTGTCTCCACCTGCCACTTCTTGGCACTGCAAGAGCGTGACCGCAATGATGATGTGCCTGGCCAACAGCTCGAACTAGCTCGGCGGTTTGTGGGGCTTACAAGAGCTTTTTGTCTGGTGTCAGAAGATGAAGACCTCGGAAGAGCCGTGGACCGGTCGGCTCCAAACCTTCGCCAACGGCGGGTACTCCGGGCGCAGGGCCTCGCTGCGGTTTACCATGCTATCTTTGGCAGTCCTCTGGAGATTGACGACCCTGCTTGGTGGCATGCCTGGTCACCCCCATCTCGTGCAGAGGTGCGCGACAGCTTGTTGCGCCTGCGTAAAAGGGCCGCTCAAGCTTCAGACGCCGTGTCCGCCGCGGAGTTCTTTCAGAGCCCCGAGTCCTGGCTGCAGATCTGGGGGGGGATGAACTGGCGCCCTGAGGGCCGGCGTGAGCTGCCCGACCTTGGCGCCTTCGCCACAGCCAACGCTGCTGATGCTGCAGCTGGGACTGCTGCCGCTGGCTACTGGGTTCCCTACATCCCGGTAATCCAGAGGGGCAAGACCTCCTTCCTTGCACCTTTGCTGTGGTTCCCCGATGCGGCGCCGAAGGCACACTGGCACCTGGACGACCCTGACCTGTTCCTCAACGTGGTGCCAGTGATGCGGAGCGTGGCAGAGCGCCTGAACCTGACTCTTCGTACCGAGTATCACAAACTCGAGCACGAGGAGCTCCATGGCCAGTTCTATTTGGCACAACACCACGAAGTTCGGGGAGCGTGGGTTCTCCAAGACAGCCGGGTGCGGTACGGATCTGCAAAGGGATGACACGTTCCTGCTGAGCTGCAGGTCTGTGGAGATCCTTGCAGCCACCGTCAACGCACTGCATGATCTCTACGCCCCGCTGCACGAAGACCTGAAGTATCTCAAGGTGATGGTCAACGTGCCCATTCCGACCGAGACTTGTCTGTTTCTGGTAGCTTTGCTCTTTAGAGGTTTGGCTCTGTTTTTGCGTTTTTCTCCGTGGCCACGAACATCACTGTAGCCCGCCTCTCACTCGCCCAAGGCCATGTGGATGCAGTGCGGCACCTGCAGCATCATTGCCCTGGCGCGGTCGTCCGCCCGTATCTGCCGCCTGGTGCTTCGTGAGCTGTTAGGATCCGCTGTTTCACCCCGTCGCACCACGAGGTGTCCGTCACACCAAGATTGCGCGTCGCGTAGGCCAGTCTGACCCCCGGGGTTTGGCGCAATGACACGCGCGAGCTGGGGTTTCCTTCGCGAGCTGGGGTTTCGAACTGGGGTTCTTGGTGCTTGGGTGAAGTTTTGTGGAACATTGTGGTTTTTTCTTTTTGCAAAAACTCATTCTTTTTTTTGTGTGTGTGTGTGTGTTTTCGGAGGGTACCTAGACTCGCTTCTAAGGAGGTACTTAGACCCCTTTTACCCCCCAAAAGCCATCCTCATGAGGTACTTGGACCCTCTGGGAAGGGTAACTGGAAGAAAACCAAAGTGTCACTTCCCCTGTTTATGGACTTGACACTTTTTGGACAGATCATTCAAGCGGTAGATTTGTTCTGACCAATCCGCTCAGGAGCTCAGGAAGTGAGGCTTGAATCCCCTTTTGTCTTGGCTTCCATTTGCTTAAGTATACTTTTCATTTCCCTGGCTGGTTTCTCCTTTTGAAGCCGACCAAGAGGGGTCGGTGCAGAAGTGAGACCCTGCCCATTACAAGCTCCACGGGCCCACCTCCCTTCCGTGTGGCGTGCGTGCATTGTTTGAAATCTCCACAAGGCAAGCTATATGATATTCATGTTTGGTATTTCTTTTTGTGGGGCTCGGAAAGGCCTATTCCGTGCCCTACAAGGCCGGGTCTGGCAGGAAGGGTGAAGATGTGAGACCTTGCCCGTTGCAAGCTCCACAGGCCCACGAAACTTTTCGCAAAAAGTCAAAAAGTCAAAAACTTCTCGACTTTTCGAATTTCTGGGGACTTTTCGACTTTTCGAGTGTGTTTTGAGACTTTTCGATTTTTCACTTTTCGACTTCTCGACTTTTCGAATCAAAAACACACAGTTTTCATTCTGTGTCCGTGACCAGCCAGAGGACACCACTCCCAACTTTTAGGGACCCCCCTCCCCCGCAAAAAAAAGAGAAACAAGAAAAACCACAGTTTTACCCGTTGATTCATTAAAAAACACACGGATTACCCTCAAAAAATAAGATATAATGGGTATATGTATGTGTATGTATATATATATATATATACGAATCTATGTACTATATGGCCGGGCAACCTATGGCTCCATTTGGGGTGGATGAAATCCATTTGCCACCTATTTTGATGTTCACCAGGGCTACAAGGTTTTGACCCACAGCCCTTTTGCTTCCCTCGCATCCCTCTACAAGAACCAGGGCTTCAAATCCAAATCCAAATCCCAACTAGCGGTTTCCTGAACTCGGTCGCTTGCTGCTCCCCAGCTATATGTAGTATGTAGACGTCGCCCGCGCTTCGTCAGCTCCTGGCGGCGGCCTATGCCTTGGCGCCTTGCTTCGTGGGCTCCGCCGCGGCTTTGGACGGGAGCCGCCTGGGCGCCACCGCGCGCAGCGCCGAGGCCGCTGCGGCGAGGTGAGTTCGGAGTTTGTTGGGAACGCAAATCCCGGAGAATCGATGGATTTGGGGATCGATTTTATATATATATATATATATATATTATTTTTTTTGCGAGGGAAGCGTGATGACCCTGGGGGGGGGGGGGGATTTTGAGCTGCTTATTAAAAAAGAATGCGAGGGAAGCGTGATGACGCCTGGGGTGGGGGGGCGGATGGAATTGGAGCGGGGGGGAAATGGAGCGGTTTAGGTGGCTACATGCGTTAGGGCTTTCATTTCAAAGAACGAAGTCTTGGGGGAGCAATAGCACAGAAACAAAACTTCAACAGTAGGAGGGCTCCTGTTCGAAGCCTGTCGGTTCAGAGTTCGTTTACCAGGCGAAGAAGAAGGCGAAGGCGCCTTGGGTGGGACCCAAGCAGCTCAGCCGCAGGTGTTCGCGTGCCGCATATCTTTGTGTTTGCTAGCTGCAGATACTGGGATGGACGACATCCATTGTGCACCACCGCTCAGAAACCCTGAAATGATGCGATTTTCCTGCAAATACAGAAAAACAATAGTTTCAACCATGGATTTAAGCTGGTGCGAAATGTATGGGTGTGTCTAAAGACTGGGGACCCCCAGAAAGCAAAATCTGGGGTCTTTGTGGTTTTCCTTGGCTGCTTCTGTTAGACAAATCCAAAAAGGGGTGCCTCAAGACCAGACACACCCATAGGCCCAAATGTCACACGTGCGTGCTATCAGCTAGCACGTCAGGGCCAGATATAGGCCGAAGGTATTTCACGCCCACGCCTTGTGGGAGCGTCGCCCTTTTGTTCTTGTGAGAAGGGTTCCCCCTTAAACTCAACCAACCAAAAAAGGATGCCCTTTTTTCCATGGCCACTGGGCATCTGAGTTATGTAAACTGAGCACAATTGATGACGAGCAAGCGGCGACACTCGAATGACACTCAAACGAGCTAGTCGACACTGCCGTGAGCCTCTTCATTACTAAGTGACCTCGATTCGCTTCCACGCGACACTCAAATGGCACGTTGACACTCACATTTGAATAAGAATGCGGAAGTCTCTGCACTCCAG